AACCCTAAACCCTACCCTAAACCCTAAATCCTAAACCCTAAGCCCTCAACTCTAAGAACCCAAAACCCTAAACCCTAAGCCTAAATTAACTCCCACATCCGCTGACAGAACCACCGCCTGGAATCAGGCACACAGCATCGGTGAGGACCACAGGCTTGTCCTGTGCAGCTAACAAGTAGGGTTTAGGGTTTAGGGTTCAGGGTTTAGGGTTGAGGGATTAGGGTTTAGCGCTTAGGGTTTAGGGTTTACAGCGGGAGTATTGCTTAAGAATTCCTTGCTTAAGAATTTGAGGGGCTGAATTTTCTTTTGCATTGGATTGTTTCCGCCCCTTACTGGGTGTCTTTGACTTAAGAATTTGAGCCCCCTGCTACACTCGCCAAAGCCCACAATAAAAAGTTCTTCGACCTAGCAGCGTGTTGGCTATCTTTGAGGGGGCTGTGGAGGAGTGAAAGCACGGGTGCATACCCCTAAACCCTAAACCCCTAAACCCCTCAACCCCGATCCGGCCACAGACACAAAACCCAAAACCCCACGCCCTAAACCCCCAACACCCTAAACCCTAAATCCTGTTTAGGGTTTAGGGCTTAGGGTTTCGGGTTTAGGGCCCCAGACCCTAAACTCACTCTAAGCCCTAAATATAAACCCTATACACCCCAAACCCTAGACCCTGCGCCCTAAACCCTAAGCCCAAAACTGTTCACCCCTAAGGTTTTAAGACCCAAAGTATAGCTGAAGGGTTTGGGTTCTTGGGGCCCTCCCTCTCCCTTCCCCAAGCCCTGGATGCTGCCAGGCGCTGACAAAGTCAACTTGTGCCCTTAGGGTTTAGGGTTTAGGGTTTAGGGTTTAGGGTTTAGGGAATACTTGGGCCTTTAAAGGGCGTCCTATAGGGACTCTTGGGGCCCCCAGCATAAACAAAACCCAAACCCAAAACCCAAACCCCAAACCCTAAACCCCAAACCCCAAACCCTGACCCTAAACCTTGCCATAGGTCGCGTTTCTGACTTTTAGGGCGGCAAAAAACCCTCTGCCCCCAGCCCTGCCGACCTGAGGATCCGCCGAAGACTCATCTTCGCGACCCAGCACCTTGTTCCGGGAACCCTAAACCCTAAACCCTAAACCCTAAACCCTAAACCCTAAACTCCTTCAGCCCTAAACCACAACTTGCCTATACACCCTAGACAGCCTACACGCCCTAAACCCTACCATCCATGTGCGTTAGGCTTTGCTTGCTGCTGGGTGCACACTGGATGTGAAAACCTACTTGGGCTCATGGCACTACCAATTATAACTGCACAAATAACCCAGTCATAAGCCCTGTTTGGGTACTTAAGGGGCTAGGACAGCAATTTTACTTGGGTAACGAAGTGCCCAGAACCTCCAAACAGGATTCAGGGTTTAAGCTTTTGGGTTCAGGGTAAGAACCGAATGCGCCTATACCATCTTCCTATTTTCACTAGAGTTCACTAAGGCCTCCGCAACTCGAACTGGCAGAAACTTACTGTTCTGGGATTCCACGCCCCCTCCCCGCTCTGGGTTTCAAAGGTCCAGGGTTTAGGGTTTGGGTATAGGGCTTAGGGTTCTTAGGGTCTAGGGCAACGCTGAAGCCTCTGAAGCCCTTAACCTGGCTCCACGCGAGCTTAGCGGGGATCTACTTAGATCCTTTCACCCTCCAAACCTGCAACCCAACAAACCTAAGCCCAAAAACATCAACCCTGAACCCTACTGTAAAACGTACTGGAGGTTCATGGTGCTCAGTAACCCAATCGCAACTGCACTTATCACCCAACTATACCCTTATCAGAACTTACCAGAGTACGTCAGGGGCCCATAAGTGTGTATAATGACGACACTTTTGATTGGGCTACACTCTAAACCCTAAACCCTAAACCCATATCACTGGGTGTAAAAGTAACCGGGCTACTAAGTACCCTGAACCTCCAAGTAGACCCTCAACCCTTTTCTGCAGCCGCACTGCTCCTGCCAAAAGCGAGACTAGACAGCCCTCGGAGGCTCCAAGCGTCTCGGGGTGCCGAGGGGGTCGCTGCGAAAACATCGCAAATACCATGGTTTGGGGTGTAGGGTTTAGGGTTTTCCCCGGCGTGCGAAAAAGCCTTGCAATGGTCGAGGGTTCGGGGGGCTGAGGAGGTTGCTGGTCGAGGGTTTAGGGGACCGAGGATTTAAGGTTTTAAGGGGTTTAGGGTTTAGGAGTTTCGGGTTTAGGGTTTTAGGGTCTTAGGGGTTTAGGGGTTTCAGAGTTTTAGGGGTTTAGGGCTTTAGGGCTATAGGGGTGGGTCAGGGTGTCAGCAGGTTTGAGGGTTTTAGGGATTTAGGGGTTTGGAGGTCGAGGGATCTTTTTTTGAAGTGTTTTAGGGTTTTTGTGGTTCTGGGTTTGGAGGGGATTGGGGTTTTACGGTTTTGGGGTTCAGGAAGTAAGGGGTTCGAAAGGTCGTTACTTGACCTCGGGCTTAGCTAGACCAACCTCTGCGCCCCTAACCAAGGAAAGAAGGTGCCAAACCCTAAACCCTATCCCAAAACCCCAAACCCGTAACCCGGGTTTAGGGTTTAGGGTTTAGGGTTTAGGGTTTAGGGTTTAGGGTTTAGGGAAGTTACAGAGCTACTCGGTGACTCGTCGCTGGATCTTGGCCTGTTTAGGGGGCAGGGCTTCGAAAGCTAAAGTAAGTTCAACTCAGAAGCTTGCTCGAAGGGTTGCATGAGGGCTATCAAAGCCGTAAAGCTCCGTACAGCCCTCACCCCTAAACCCTAAACCCCTAAACCCCTCAACCCTAAAACCCTAAACCCCACACGCATAAACCCTAAAACCCTAAAACCCTAAACCCCTCAAACCCTAAAACCCTCAAACCCGAAACCCGACACCCTAAAACTACAGGGGCAAAGGCTTGGATGGCTGGAGACGAGCTTGGAGTCCATTTGGGCGAGCTTTTGCTGGCAGTGCCTCTGCGAAACAGGGCCGCGGCAGGCCCCCCTTGTGCTTTGCGACTCCGTTAAGCCCCGATACCCTAAATCCTAAACCCTAAACCCTAAACCCTAAATCCTAAACCCTAAACCCTAAACCCTATAGACCCGATAGATCGATAGACTCTGCATCCCAATGGCCTGAAGCCCTCCAAGCCCTAAAGTAGTCTACACGACCTGCCCCTGAACCCAAAAGCGTAAACCCTACCCTGAACCCCAAACCCCAAGCCCTGAACCCTAAACCCTAAACCCTCAACCCCTAAGCCCTAAACCCTAAACCCTAAACCCCTAAGCCCTAAACCCTAAACCCGAAACCCTAAACACCCCAAACCCTAAACCCCTTAACCCCAAAGTCCCTCAAGTCGCCTACACAGCGGAGCCTCCGGGCACCGAATGAATTCGTTGAGCGGCGGCTACTTGCGACCGCAGCGAGCCATTGGCGCGGTCAGAAGCTGGAACTGGTTTAGGGTTTAGGGTTTAGGGTTTAGGGTTTAGGGTTTAGGGTTAGGGTTTAGGGTTTAGGGTTTAGGGTTTAGGGTTTAGGGTTTAGGGTTTAGGGTTTAGGGTTTAGGGTTTAGGGTTTAGGGTTTAGGGTTTAGGGCTTAGGGTTTAGGGTTTAGGGTTTAGGGTTTAGGGTTTAGGGTTTAGGGGCTTTGGGTGGGCTTGGGGGTTTTAGGGTTTAGGCTTTGTAGGGTGTAGGGAGCACCCTGGGACTCGGATTCCTAGTATTCTAACTGTACTTTCAACCCAATGAACCTCCAAGTATGCAATCTTCATTGTCAAAAAGGCCCCCAATAGAATTGCAGCCCTTCTGTCCCCTGAATAACCCCCCTCAAAAAATAGAAGAAATAATAATAACAATACTAAAACTAATAATAATAAGAAGAAGAAGAATCCAATAATCATCATCATCATCATCATCATCATCCATGAGTAAAAAAACTCTGCAGTACACCCCCAAGGGTTTCGGGGTTTCGGGGTTTAGGGGGTTTGGGGCCTGGGCTTCATAAGCTTCACCAAAGCCCCCAATAACCCCTGACGAGGATGAACATCCCATTATGGCTGAAGCCCACGCTCCTGTCCCAGACGGAAATGGCAAGCTGGTCAGACACATAAACTCCGAGGGCCCCTATTCAGAGATTATAGGGTTAGGGGTTTATTGGGCTGAACAGGTTGTGCAAATATAGGCTTGATAGGGCCTTGCAGTTAGGGTTTCCAGGGTTTTTTTTGGGTGTAGAGGTTTAGGGCCTATAACTCTAAGGTTGATGGAGTGCTACATCCTATGCATCTGCACCCCCCAAGACAATGTGCAGGTTTTGAGTTAAGGGTTACCCCTAAACCCTAAACCCTAAACCCTAAGCCCTAAGCCCTAAGCCCTAAACCCTAAACGGCCCTAAACCCTAACCCTAAACCCTACGAGTAAGTAGCTCGATAGCCCCCAGAAGGTTCATGGAGCCCTCGTGGTACTCGGCACTTCGGCGGTTTCGCAACGACTCGGTTGCCCAGCAACGCAAGAATCAAGAAGGGTCTAGGATCAAGGTTCAGTGTTTAGGGTTTAGGGATACAGGTGTAAGGTTTCAGGGTGCCTAAGAATCAAAGGGCTTCGTTTAGGCTTTAAAGGTGTCGATGCGGGATCCTAAGCTAAAAACCCCTAAATCAACTAACCCCCACCCCCACAAAACATGATAAAGGAAGACGGGTAATTGCCTGGAGACTCCAATGCAGTTCCTTCTGGGGTCCACTATGGTTTCTCTATGAAGGATTAAGGTATACCACCCAAAAAGGAACTTCATTGGAGTCTTCAGGTACTAGCTGGGCATCCTCCAAGACGCGCGCGACCGAAGGCGCAGAAAGCCAAGGGCAGACCACAGGGGAAGGGGCTTTGAGGTACTTCCTAACGTAAAACCTGGGGGGCTATGATCGGGTGAAGTCGCCCTAAACCCTGAACCCTAAACCCTGAACCCCAAACCCTAAACCGTAAACGTAAAGGACCTTCCTTGCGTGGTCCGCCCAGGCACAGCGGGCATTCAACGGTAGATTTGCCAGTCCTTGGGTGTGCAGGGTTTCCACCAAGAGGGCACTAAACCCTAAAACCCTAAAACCCTAAAACCCTAAAACCCTAAAACCCTAAAACCCTAAAACCCTAAAACCCTAAAACCCTAAAACCCTAAAACCCTAAAACCCTAAAACCCTAAAACCCTAAAAGCCTAAAACCCTAAAACCCTAAAACCCTAAAACCCTAAAACCCTAAAACCCTAAAACCCTAAACCCTAAACCCTAAACCCTAAACCCTAAACCCTAAACCCTAAACCCTGCAGGCCCGGCATCCAAGCCAGGGTCATAGGGCTGAGGGCCCAACATGAGCTCCAGTTCTAGGAGGAGAAGGGTTTAGGGTTTAGGGTTTAGGGTTTAGGGTTTAGGGTTTAGGGTTCAGGGTTTAGGGTTTAGGGGTTAGGGGTTAGGGTTTAGGCAGTCAACAGCTTCGCTGGGGTTTGTTTCGGAGGGAACCGTAGTATACCGCGAAGAAAGGGACTGAGGGTACCATCACAGGTCTTTGCTTCGTACCCTAAACCCTGCAAGCCCCCCCCCCCCCCCCCCTCCGTCCCACGCAAAAAGCCTACGCAAAAAAACAAGAAACAGGCAAACAAGATGCCCTAAATCCTAAACCCTCACTACTATACCCCAAAAACCCTCGGCCCCAAACAAAGACGCCCTAAATCCTAACCCCTCAACTCTATGCCCCAAAAACCCTGATCCCCATGTTGTTGATGTGCCCTGGTTTTCGGGCTGTGGGGGCTCCTCGAACCCTATGAAACCCTAAACCCTAAACCCTAAACCCTAAACCCTAAACCCTAAACCCTAAACCCTAAACCCTAAACCCTACACCTCAGCCCGAGACTTTACAAACCCTCTGCTCCAGCTCCAGCTGCCCTGAGCCCCCTCAACCCTAAACACCCGAGCACCCCAAACCCCAAGACCCTGCACCCCAAAACCCTATAAATCCTACAACAAACCGAGAAAAACCCCATGAAAAAAACCCTCTAAACAGCCCTATGAGAGAAACACAACTACTTTATTAACCCTCTAAACCACAAACCCTATACCCCAAACCCTAGCAAGGGGCGTCCGCGCCGAACGCGCAAGCGTCTCTGGCTCTCGTATGCGCTGGCCGTCCTCAGGGCAGATTGTAGGGTTTAGGGTTTAGGGTTTAGGGTTTAGGGTTTAGGGTTTAGGATCTGAAGTTGCAGCAAAGAGCCACAGGAGAGGGTGGAGGGCTGGAATGCTTGGTTCGGATTCTAAGCCTTCCGCCCTGCCGCCAAATAAAGCCCTCAACAGCCTCCCCGAAGTAAGTTCTAGGGTTTGGGGTTTAGGGTTTAGGGTTTAGGGCTAGGGTTTAGGGTTTAGGGTTTAGGGTTTAGGGTTTAGGGTTTAGGGTTTAGGGTTTAGGGTTTAGGGTTTAGGGGTTTAGGGGTTTAGGGTTTAGGGTTTGGGGTTTAGGGTTTAGGGGTTTAGGGTTTAGGGTTTAGGGCTCAGGGCCTCGTGAAGCGGCCCTCCTATGACAACTCTCGGGCCGTGCTTCGGGTCAGCTGCTCTTCGTCAGAAGACTGGCGGTTGCGGAGTCGCTTTGCCGCAACATTTTGCTTCCCTGGGGCGAACGGTTGGGGCGGGAAAAGAAGGGGTTTAGGGTTTAGGGCTTGGGGTTTAGGGTTTAGGGTTTAGGGCTTAGGGAGCTTAAGGGTTTGGGGTTTTTCAGGGGTGCTAGGGTAAGAGGTTAGCATTTTCGGGTTTGAGAGGGTTCGGGTAGGGTTGGGGGTCTGCAAACGGGGCTCCCCAGACCCCTGGGAAGATCCCCTAAACCCTAAACCCTAAGCCCTAGACCCTAAACCCTAAACCCTAAACCTCCCCAAAAGAGTGCCCTGTACTACTCTTGGCTCATTCTTGGGAACCCTTAATGCTTGGTAGCCCAGAAACCATCTTATCATAAGGGCACCATTTTTGGGGTTGGTTACTTTACAAGGAAACCCATAACCCAAAAAAGGGTAAAGGGCACCACTGGGCTACCAAGATAAGAAAATTGGATCCTCCCAGGGGGTCTGGGTCAGGGTGTAGGGTTGGAGGTTCATAGTACTGGTTAGCACAACTATGAGTGTACTTATGTTTTAGTGTCCCTAAGGGAGGGGGGGTGGGCGATTCATGGGGGGTAGGTACCTAGGGAAGCTTCGTGAAGCTTAGGGAGCCTTAGGGAGTAGAGGGGAGGGAACCTTGGGTTACACCACCGTAAACTAAACCCTAAACAAAACACACCCTAAACCCTACACCACCAAGCCAGCTTACCGGCATCTGGGTTTGGCCTTTTTTGGCTCCGCAACTCCAGGGACACTCTGGGGTTGGGCACTCCAGTAACACTCTGGCATTGGGCACTCCAGGGACACTGTGGCATTGGGCACTCCAGGGACACTCTGGCATTAGGCACTCCAGGGACACTCTGAGGTTGGGATTAGGGGGTTCAGGCTTCAGGCACTTGTATCACGACAGCGCCAGCTGCAGCAGAAGGAGCGACTGAACTCTTTCTGCTTCTGCACGAACTTCTTCCGCCAGCGATCCTCCTGCGCAAAGGGTTGCCAGTAGCTTAGCATCAGGTGCGTTGAGGGTTTCGAGTGTTCCCCCAAGCCGTAAATCCTAAACCCTAAACCCTAAACCCTAAACCCTAAACCCTAAACCCTAAACCCTAAACCCTAAGCCCTAAGCCCTAAGCCCTAAGCCCTAAGCCCTAAACCCTAAACATAATGTAGGGTTTAGGCTCTAAACCGCTCAAGCTCCCAATTGAACCGGTCATGCTAGCAGGGTGTACCTGTAGAGATCCCTTGAAACCTGGGAACCCCACAATGCTCCCAAAACCCTAAACTCCCTAAACCCTAAACCCTAAACCCTAAACCCTAAACCCTAAACCCTAAACCCTAAACCCTAAACCCTAAACCCTAAACCCTAAACCCTAAACCCTAAACCCTAAACCCTAAACCCTAAACCCTAAACCCTAAACTAAACCCTAAACAAGCGGGTCCCTTAGAGACCCTTATGGCACGAAACGTGCCTTCTGGGCCAGCTCATTCCGGAAGAACTGCGACGCATCCAGTCGGCCGTTGCCGACATGCATGCCAGCAAGGAACTTGCCACGACCTTATCAAACGCATTTCATCTGTACGGTTTAGGGTTTAGGGTTTCGGGTTTAGGGTTTAGGGTTGAGGGTTGATACCTAGGGAACCGTGGGGAAGCTCAGGGAGCCTTAGGGAGCAGTGGGGAGTAATCGGGAACCTTGGGTTAGGAACCTATAATGAGGCCTGAAACCCTGCACCCTAAGCTGCTAAAGGGCTCCCAACCTGACTACCCCCCCTAAGCAGGAAACCGAAACCCCAAACCCTACACCTTTTAAGGGACTAAAGGAGGGACCCTTATAAGGGACCGTAGGGGATATTCAGGGGTTAGATAGGGGCTACTTAGGTATATAGGGACTGGGGTTATAGAGGGGGCTAAGATTAAGGGTCCATTCTAGGGGTCCCTCCTTATACCCCTTAAACCTTGGGGGATGTTCCCCCTTACACTGACAGTCCTTAAGAGGGACGATAGTACCCCCGACTTGAATCCCTACCAAGGGCTGTTAGTATCAGGGGGAAAATCCCAACCTACACCCTACTTGGAGGTTCAGGGTACTTGTAACCCAATCATAAGTGCAGCAAAAAGCCACTTATTAGCCCCTTAAGTACGGGTAGGGCAATAGTTGGGCTAGAAGTGCAGATGCATTTTGGTTGCTAAGTACCATGAACCTCCAATGCTTCAGCTTAAGGTTCCCGAATACTCCCCACTACTCCCTAAAGCTCCCTACGCCCTACGCTTCCCTAGGTACCTAGCCCCCGTGACCCCCTCCAACCCTAAACCCTAAACCCTAAACCCTAAACTCTAAACCCTAAACCCTAAACCCCCAAAACCCGAAAACCCTAAACCCTAAACCTACCTACCCCACAAGAACCCCCCCCTTTAGTTTTAAGGAAGGACAAGGGTTGCACTCTCCGCTCTTGCATGGCAGGAGGCGACGAAGGCAACTCAGAGCAACTTGCCTTGGCCAGAGAAATGCAGAATGCCCCCCCTGAAACCCTAAACCCTAACCCTAAACCCTAAACCCTAAACCCTAAACCCTAAACCCTAAACCCTAAACCCTAAACCCTAAACCCTAAACCCTAAACCCTAAACCCTAAACCCTAAACCCTAAACCTCTCACCAGCCACACAGGGCTCGATGTTTAGGGAGCAATGAGGGCTTGGAACTTTGGGTTGATATCGGTCTTCAAGGGGCTCTAGCTTGGACGCCTGAGGTGGCTGAGGGTTTTCAGGGTTTAGGGTTCTAGTTTGTTTTTTGTTTTTTTTCGGGTTTTAGGGTTTTAGGGTTTAGGGTTTTAGGGTTTAGGGTTTTAGGGCTTAGGGTTTTTCAGGGTTTAGTCTTTTCAGGGTTCAGGGTTTTCAGGATTTAGGGTGTTTTCGGGGTTTGGGACTTTCAGGGCTTGAGGTTTTAAGGTTTAGGGTTTAGGGTGCCTTTGGGTTTGGGGACACGCTTCTGAACGGCCCTATTAGGAGCGTACTAAGGGAAACCTTAGGGGTACAACCTTACTTGGAGGTTCATGGGCACTTATAAACCCAATTATAACTGCACTTATAAGCCCCCTAAGTCCACTAAGTGGTTATAAGTAGACTTATAAGTGGAGATAGAAGTACCCATGAACCTCCAAGTAGGGGTACGAGTCCCTTGAGGTCTGGGGAGGCCTTCTAGACTCGAGAACCCGAAAGCCCTCAACCCCCAAAAGCCCCGAACCCTAAACCCCCAAAACCCTAAACCCCAAATCCCCTAAAACCAAAAACCAAAAACCAAAAAAAAACAAAAACATTAAAAACAAAAAAAACATGGAAAACGGAATGTCTATGCCCCCGGCCCGTGGCTTGAGGATGGGAAGCCAGTCCAAAAGGGCGCATTTGTAGTAGTTATCACGATGCAATCATAGGTGCGAGTACCAAAAAGCCTAAGTAGGGTTTGGGATCCAGGGATTTAGAACTTAGGGCTCAAGGTTTAGGGCTGAGGGTTTAGGGGTTTAGGGTTTAGGGTGAAGGCTTTGGGTCAGGGTTTAGGCTTATGGCGCAAGGTTTCGAAAATCGTCATCCAGACCCATACCCCTACTTCCGAACCCCTGAATACCATAGAACCCTGAACTCCAAACCCTAGACCCTTTAGCTGCGCTTCCTGTACTCCCTACACCCAAACCCTAAACCCCAAACCCCAAACCCTAAACCCTAAACCCTAAACCCTAAACCCTCTTGGCCGAGATGCTCCAAGGGCTTGTCGAATGTGGCCAGTGCCACGCTCAGCACGTTTACCTCGCACGGGCACCACGGGGTTTAGGGTTCAGGGTTTAGGGTTTAGCGTCTAGGGTTTAGGGTTTAGGGTTCAAGGTTTAGGGCTAGTCATCCAGCCTATACCCTCACAGCCCTGCTTCATACAGCGGCGGTTTGTGAGATCAGACTTTTCGGTTTATACCTTGGCTGCACACCCCTGCCTCTATCTACTTTTGGCAAAGACCTTGCCCTAAACCCTCAACCCTAAACCCAAAGCCCTAAACCCTAAACCCTAAACCCTAAACCCTAAACTCTAAACCCTAAACCCTAAACCCTAAACACCAAACCTATTGAAACCCGCACATGCGAGCCGAGGAACGCTGTCCGCATCCGGACTGCGCTCCAGCAGGAGGGCCAGGATCTTATCGTACTTGCCTGCAGCGAGGATCGGAGGTATCTGAGGGTAGTTCATATGGGCCCAAAAAATGGTGCCTTGCCTCCCCAGAAACCTTAAAAGATAAGAGTTCGTAGAGCCTTAGCGAAAGGGTTGAGGGCCGGTATGCGGCTTCAGAATCTTACGCCCTAAACCCTAAACCCTAAACCCTAAACCCTAAACCCTAAACCCTAAACCCTAAACCCTAAACCCCTAAACCCTAAACCCTAGACCCCTAAACCCTAAACCCTAAACCCTAAACCCTACACCGGCTTTTCGGTGTTCATGGTCTGGCCTCTGCAGCCGCCATAGCACGACAGCTCCACGCGGATGAGCAGAGCCAGCTCCACAGCAGTGAGGCCTGCGCCCACTGGAGAAGTGCTTAGGGTTTAGGGTTTAGGGTTTAGGGTTCAGGGTTCAGGGTTCAGGGTTTAGGGTTTAGGGTTTAGGGTTTAGGGTTTAGGGTTTAGGGTTTAGGGTTTAGGGTTTAGGGTTTAGGGTTTAGGGTTTAGGGTTTAGGGTTTAGGGTTTAGGTTAGGGTTTAGGGTTTAGGGTTTAGGGTTTAGGGTTTAGGGTTTAGGGTTTAGGGTTTAGGGTTTAGGGTTTAGGGTTTAGGGTTTAGGGTTTAGGGTTTAGGGTTTAGGGTTTAGGGTTTAGGGTTTAGGGTTTAGGGTTTACGGGTTAGGGGTTAGGGTTTAGGGTTTAGGGTTTAGGGTTTAGGGTTTAGGGTTTAGGGTTTATCGCAACCGTCCTATGAATACAACATCGCTCGAAACCACCAGCTGTTTTCTCGCATGAACCTCGTGAGCACTTGTGTTAGATAAGGGTGATCTTGGGACATCGACGTAGTTTCAGGGCTTTGGGGGCTTCAGGTGTTGAGGGGTTTGGGCTTCGGGCTTGAGAGGTTTGAAAGGTGGAAGGTTTACGGCTTGCAGGGCTTCTAGACCCAGGGGTAACCTGGGAAAAAAAGGGTGCCCTTCTTGGTTTAAAGGGGATTATGAGGGAACCTAAACCCAAAGAAAAAGGATGAATAAGGGCCTACTCTGGGTCCCAGGCTTAGTGGGTAGCTACTTGTCGAGTTTCCTCGTTGGAACTACGGACTCTGCGAGTTATCAATGGCGAGTCCAGTGCCCAGAACCCTAAACCCTAAACCCTAAACCCTGAACGAACTCTAAACCCTGCGTTAGGGTATATCTAACGTCTTGTGCACTCCCACTTTACTCAGGTGCACCAGGATGTGTGTAGGGTTTAGGGTTTAGGGTTTAGGGTTTAGGGTTTAGGGTTTAGGGTTTAGGGTTTAGGGTTTAGGGTTTAGGGTTTAGGGTTTAGGGTTTAGGGTTTAGGGTTTAGGGTTTAGGGTTTAGGGTTTAGGGTTGAGGCCTTCCAACGTCCTTGCTCCCGCATCGATGCGCCCATCCTGCAGAAGCCTCTGAGGACATCGGCGAAGCACAGGAGGTTGAGGGTTTAGGGTTTAGGGTTGAGGGTTGAGGGTTGAGGGTTTAGGGCTTAGGGTTTAGGGTTTAGGGCTTAGGGTTTAGGGTTGAGGGTTTAGGGTTTAGGGCTTAGGGTTTAGGGTTTAGGGCTTAGGGCTTAGGGTTTAGGGCTTAGGGTTGAGGGTTTAAGGGTTGAGGGTTTAAGGATGTGGGCTTAGGGCTTGCAGTCTAGGGTTTAGGGTTTAGAGTTTAGGGTGAACTCTCAGCCCCGAAACCTAGACGCCCTAGATCGGCAGGTGTCTACGTCCCTAAACACAAGGCTTCCGCATGACAAAGACAACCCCCAAAGTAAAATCAAAGACCAAGAGCTGACTCTATGTACGAGTCTAGGGGTTCAGGGGGTTTGTTTAGGGGGCTAACTAGGGGGGGTTTACGGGGGTTTCAGGAGCAGGGCTGAGGGTGATAGGGCATTAGGCTATGAGGGCTATGGGGCGATCCGACAAGCCTGAATTAAGACCATTGAAGCCCTCTTGGGATCTCTCTGGCGCATATAATCATATAAATATTAAGATATTGCAAACCCAAAGGATCCATGTACCTATATAGAATATACTTGGGCCTTTAAAGGGGTTCCTATATAGTAGCTTCAGGGCCCAAGAATATACTATATCGGTACATGGATCCTTTGGGAAAGTTGTAGTAAGAACTTGTAAAAAAAGGTATCAAGACCGTATAATTCAAAAGAATGTAGCGTAGGGTTTCGGGGCCTTGGACGTGGAGCTTCGCAGCTCACGGTGGGGAAGCTATCCCTTAAGCCCCAGGCACGGAACCCAAACTCAATACCCAGGATGAAGGTTTAGGGTTTAGGGTTTAGGGTTTATAGGGTTTAGGGTTTAGGGTTTAGGGTTTAGGGTTTAGGGTTTAGGGTTTGGCGGGGGGGGGGGGGGAGAGGAGGTTCGAATCCCTACCATTTATGCTGTTAAGGCCCCCAGAAGTCCTTGGGAGAATATTTGTTCCACCAAGATCCCGAGCAGGAGCATATGGCCTACCATCCCACGAAACCCCAAGCCCTGAAACCTGGATAAGTAGCAAAGGAAATCTGACAGCATTCGGACTTCCTCAAAAAAGCGTAAGAACGAGCTGCAATAATTACAGGCCGCAAAAGCATTCGTGGTACTAGTCATCTTCATCTTCATCGTCATATATACTGACGCAAACAAGAAACAATAACATGCTCAAATAACAACCTTTGCAAACAAACTATATAAGTGAACCAACTTTATATACACAGCTCGTTCAACATGAACGAACAAGAAGTACAGTAGTAGGCAACTCCGGGGACGCAGGGCCACGGTACGCACTGCAATGCCTGAGTCAGGATATCTGAACCCTAAAACCTAAACCCTAAACCCTAAACCCAGCCGAGTGGCTCAGCCACCAGGTCCGTCTCGCCGTTCAGCACCGCCATATGAAGCACGGTCTGGCCGCCAGCCTGGAGGTAGGGTTTAGGGTTTAGGGTTCAAGGTTTAGGGTTTCGGGTTTAAGGTGTAGGGTTTTGGGTATACTGTGTAGGGCTTAGGGTGCTGAAGGCTTATCCCCGCTCCCATCAGACAAACCTTATCACGAACCACCCCCAAAACAAACAACCCAAAAACCGCCCCACAGCCCACAACGCCCAAAACCTGGGTACCCCTGAAGTCCCAAACCCCAAAATTTCCCCCCCCCCCCCCCCCCCCCCCTATACAAGACTCCCCAAACGCAAGAGCTCCTAAAATCCAAATACTGAACCCCCAAGGTTGTTCGCCCCACCGAAACGACAAACATCCAACCCTACAAACCTCCATATTAGAAGTATACTAAGGGGAACCTTAGGGATACAACCTTCGGGGTGCAAGTCTCAATCCCTTGAGTAGAAACCCTATAAACCGGTTTAGGGTCTAGGGTTTAGGGTTAGGGTTTAGGGTTTAGGGTTTAGGGTTTAGGGCTTAGGGTTTAGGGTTTAGGGTTTAGGGTTTAGGGTAACCCCCCATCTTGGGCCGGAGCGTTCTGTTCGCCGACGGCTGAGAAGCAGCTGTGGTGAAGGAGCAGGGAGCCTCCGAACGAAGCATCGAATCGGACTGCAGGTCACTTACTTGGTAGCCCAGTAGCCATATTAAAATCAGGGCACCCTGTTTGGGGTTGGTTGCTTTAAAGGTGAACCTTGAACCAAAAACATGGTAGAGGGTACCATTGGGCTACGAAGCGTAGTTTGCGCTGAGGGTGGAAACTAGGGAGTTTAGGGCTTGGGGTTTAGGGCTTTAAAGCTTGATAGGTTAGAGTTTTTCTCGAGTTCGAGATTGAGGGTATTGGGGTCTAAGGCTTCTGGCTTTAAGGGCTTCGAGTTCAAGATATAGGCTCCAAGGTTGAGGGGTTTAAGGGTTTGGGGCTTAGGGTTTAGGGCTTAGGGTTTAGGGTTTAGGGCTAGGGTTTTGGGGGTTTAGGGGTTTAGGGGTTTTGGGGTTTAGGGGTTTAGGGTTTAAAGGTGAGAGTAAATGCTCTGCCCTCGATCCGGAGCCTGACAAGTTGGCGATCCAAGCGTGCTCCCCAAACCCTAAACCCTAAACCCTAAACCCTAAACCCTAAACCCTAAACCCTAAACCCTAAACCCCAACCCTAAACCCTAAACCCTATACCCTAAACCCTATACCCTAAACCCTAAACCCTATACCCTAAACCCTAAACCCTAAACCCTAAACCCCACCCTCCAACAGTCCCAGGCGCAGACTTCTGGCCGGTACCATGCCACAGCACAGTGCAGTGCGGTGCATGAGCTCCCCACAAAATCCATCACCGAGGAGTACCTCATAAAACTTGCAGTGTGGGGTGTTCGGGTTTAGGGTTTAGGGTTTAGGGTTTAGGGTTTCGGGTTTAGGACTCGCAATACTTCTGGGGTTTAGGGTTTAGGGTTTAGGGTTTAGGGTTTAGGGATGAAGCAACGGGGGGCAGGGGAGAACTCCAAAAGAAGCCCTGAAACCTAACCCTAAACTCGACACACTCGGCCCCTTCCGCGAACACCGACAAAGACGGAGCGTTCTTTGATAGGACCAGAAACGCCCGAAAACACTAGCCGCAAGTCCTCGCCACCGCCTAGACCAACCCAAGCAGACCCCCAAAATGGGGAAATGTACCTTTCTTATACGGGTACGTGCACTTCCCGTTCTAAAGGTAGAAATGGGGATGTTCCCCCTTATACTAACAGTCCTGAATAGAGATTATAGTACCCCTATTACGATCCCTATTCAGGACTGCGACTTAGCTTTGGAGTAGACCCTGGAAAAAAAAGTATATACTTTTTAGGTTTAACTAGCTATTTTAGCAACCCAGAACCAAAAAAGTATTAAAGTGTAGTACTCCAAAACCCAGGTGAGTATAAGGGGGACACATCCCGGGAGAAAAAGGCCCAAAACCTACCTTTTTTTGTAGGGTTCCCTAAACCCTGAACCCTGAACCCGAAACCCTAAACCCTAAACCCTGTTCTTAAGGCAGATGAGAGGCGAGAAGGGCATGGCCACGTCAGCGAGGGAGTTCGCTTGTTCGAATCGCGGATGGTCCAAGAGCGCCTTCATTCGGGAGACTTGCCCTGGAGTTGACCTAACCCTAGGATGGCCCTTAAAGGGTTCAGGGTTCAGGGTTCAGGGTTCAGGGTTTAGGGTTTAGGGTTTAGGGTTTAGGGTTTAGGGCCCTCGGAAGAATGTGCCTGAATATGATCCTCTCAAACCCCATAACAGTAATTCAAAATGTCCCAGGGGCCTACCTAGAACCCAAAACCCCTAAACCCTAAACCCCTAAACCCTAAACCCTAAACCCTAAACCCTAGACCCTAGACCCTAGACCCTAAACCCTAAAACCTTAACCTTTCCATTCTTCAAGGTTCTCTGCCTTACTTCTGAAGGGGGTTCAAGAACGCCTCTTGGAGCAAGCGTATTATTGCACACTACACACCCCACAAGCTGTTTAGGGTAGGGTCCTGAACCCCATAAGCCCCACAAGCCCTGTAACAAAACCCAGGAGTCAAGCCCTGTAAACCCTAAACCCCAAACCCCAAACCCTAAACCCTAAACCCTAAACCCCAAACCCTAAACCCTAAACCCTAAACCCTAAACCCTCAGCACCCTCTGACCGGTCTGCTACGCGCCTTGCAGATCTGGGTCTCTCCGAAGCATGCCGCATAGTGCAAAGCTGTGCAGTTCCGGTACCTTAAGGATGGTTTGGGGGTTAGGGTTTGAGGTTTAGGGTTTAGGGTTTAGGGTTTAGGGTTTAGGGTTTAGGGTTTGGGGTTTGGGTGGGGGGTATGAGGCTACGGCCTGGGGCTCCCATTTCAAACAAAGGGGGGGGGGGGGGCAAAAGGGTTTAGACTTTACGGAAGGTAGGGCGGCAAAAGCAACGTACTTCTCTTGCGTGGATGCTTTGGTATTACTTTTTGGTTCTTTCGGACAAACCAACGTTTGGCTGGGTAGGCATAGGGATTACTGGCCACAGATACTCGTCGAAGTCGTCGAAGGGGTCGTACCAAGCTGCCTCCTGCATGGAACAGCCCCGAAACTTGTGACCCTAACGGGCTTGAGATCAGGGCACACAGATTTCTACACCTGGACCATCCCTGAACGTTTCTCCAGATTATTGCTTATGTTCTATCCTTCTGGAACAACCCTAAACCCCTGAATTCCCAAACATTATAACCTTAAACCCTAAAGAACCCTAAACCCTAAACCCTAAACCCTAAACCCTAGGGTTCAGGGTTGTGGGTTATCAGGGCTCAGGCATGTGTCCTTCTGGTTCACTACGGAGCCGTCAGAGTCTGCAGCAAGGATATACCTCGGTCGAAAAAGGGTGCGGTTTGGGGTTCGGGTTTAGGGTTTGGGGTTTGGGGTTTAGGGTTTAGGGTCTTTTACAGGGATTTCAGGCCTTGCAGGTCGTTTGGGCGTCTTGGATCTACGCTGATGGGGCTACTGGGCTTCAGCTCTACTGTCTATAGGTGCGCAACGATGCTTCTGTCGTTGGCGCCGCCAATTGAACGCTAAGCTCTGTGCATGCTCTCACTTTCTCTCTCTCACACACACACCCCCTAGACCCTAGACCCTAGACCCTAAACCCTAAACCCTAAACCCTAAACCCTAAACCCTAAAACCCTACTCCTCCAATCTCAGCTCGCACAACTTGCCTGTGATTATGTGAGGCTTCCTGGCAAACAGACTTTTTGCGAGTTCAAGACTGATGATGCTCCCCACCCCCCCTTACTCTAAACCGAAATCAGCCCCCAGCTCTAAGCCCGAACCCCTAACACCTAAACCCTACCAAAACCCTAAACCCTACACCCCTAAACCCTGAACCCTAAACCCCAAAACCCTAAGACCTGAACCCTACACCCCTAAACCCTAAACCCTGAACCCTAAACGCCTAAACCCTAAGACCTGAACCCTGAACCCAAACACCTGACGCTTCGTTTCGAGAGGCTTGACCACCCGCGCCGCCGCCTTCCTCCATGCGGCTTAGGGGTTTAGGGTCTATAGGGTTATCTACCCTAAACCCTAAACCCTAAACCCTAATCCCTAAACCCTAAACCCTAAACCTCTATACCCCACGCCTCTAAACCCTGAACCCTGAGCCCTGACAGAGCTTGGGTTTGCGCTGTAGGGGCTTGGCCCCCATAGTGCTTGAGGGGGGCGGAGGGGGGGGGGGGGGGGGGGGGGGGGGGGGGGGGAGGGGGGAGGGGGGTCTTTAGGGTCTCATGGGCCTGGTTTCAAGGGTTTTAGGGTTCAGGGTTTAGGTTTATAATTTTAGGGTTTAGGGTTTAGGGTTTATAAATTTAGGGTTTAGGGCTTAGGGTTTGTGGGGTGGTTTTCAAAGCTGAGGGGCCCGGGCCACAACAAAGAGCCACACGGCCGGTTTGTAGAGGTTTGCGGCAAAGAAGACTTAGGTGTTTGTAGGGTTGCGGGTGTACTGTTGTACCCACTCTCAGCAGTGGGTGCGGGGGGTACATGCACCTAAACCCTAAACCCTAAATAAACCCTAAACCCCAAACCCAAACCCTACACCGCTCAGGGTTTGAGATGCCAGTCCTGAACAAGTCCTGATCCCAGAGTTTTTCCGAAGCAACTTGATGCCCTAAACCCTAAACCCTAAACCCTAAACCCTAAACCCTAAACCCTAAACCCTAAACCCTAAACCCTAAACCCTAAACCCTAAACCCTAAACCCTAAACCCCGCAACACGCAAACCCAACAAAAGTCCTAAAACCACTCCTCAACCCTCGAAACCCCCCCAAGAGCCCTCTAAACCCGAAGAAGCCTAAACCCCTAAACCCTAAAACCCCAAACCCTTAACCCTAAACCCTAAAACCCTCAACCCTAAACCCTCAACCCTAAACCCTAAACCCTAAACCCTAAACCCTAAAAGCCTTGACCCTTAACCCTAAACCTTAGCACAAAAAATGCGAAGCCTTGAGGCCATGAAAGCATTCGCGTGGCGAAAACGCCGCACGAAGCGCCCTTTGATCAGGTTCCTGGTCGCGGCTTGGCTTAGGGTTTAGGGTTTAGGGTTTAGGGTTTGGGGTTTAGGGTTTAGGGTTTAGGGTGTAGGGTGTAGGGTTTAGGGTTTAGGGTTTCGGGTTTGGGGTTTGGGGTTTAGGGTTTAGGGTTTGGGGTTTAGGGTTTGGGGTTTGGGGTTTAGGGTTCAGGGTTTAGGGCCGTTTAGGGTTTAGGGCCGTTTAGGGGTTAGGGTTTAGGGTTGAGGGTTGAGGGTTTGGGGTTTAGGGTGTAGGGTTTAGGGTTTTAGGGTTTTGGGTTTTAGGGTTTAGGGTTTAGGATTTAGGGTCAGGGCTTAGGGCTTAGGGCTTAGGGTATAGGGTTTGGGGCTTAGGCATTAGGGTTTGGGGTTTAGGGTTTTGCTTAGGAGACCGAAGAAAAAAAACACTCATACTTATATCTTGCCTTTCATAAGGAAGAAGACTTTTCATAACTTTATTTCTTGGGGGGGTTTCTTAAGCACATGGAAGTCCAGGGCCATCTATATTACCCAGTCAAGAAGAGCGAAGGGTTTAGGCTTTTGGCTTCAGGGTTCCTACAAGGGGCTTCTATAGAAAAACAAATGCCTACCAAAAACCAGCAGGTTGTGGGTTGCAAAGGAAGGTTTTAGGTTCTATATACCCTATTTAGGTTTTAGGGTTTAGGGTCTATAGGGTCTAGGGTTTGGGGCTTTGGCGGCTTAGGGTTCAGGCGGTATTTGGGTTTACGGTTTCGGGCCGGCCTACAACCCTTAATCATACAGTAGGGTTAAGGGTTTGGGGTTTAGGGTTTAATTCAGCTTGCAATAGTTTTTTTGACAAGAGATAGTCAAGTACCCCTTTCATCACACGAGAAAACATACCAACCGTACGCTTCTGAAGACTACTTCTTGTTGAGCATACGAAAAGACTGTCCTCTGCCACACACTAAATAACCTGCAGCACCCTGGAGCCACACGCGCATTGACACTGACACGGCAACAGGGAGCTGAACTTGGGTTTTTTTAACATAAAAAAACCCACAAACCGTAAAAGCCCTAAGTGGTTTTTGAAACGTTAACAAAACCTAAATGGGTGTTTGTTAGCATTTAAAAAAACCCTAAACGCAGGGAGCTGAACACGTCTCACTGAACTGCACGTCTCACGAACTGCTCGTACTTCTGTGCGAAGGTGACCGGGTTGAATCTGACAACGTCTCTGGAAGCCGTCTGCGTCTCCGTCCCATTCATAGCATATAACAAAGCGCTCGATAAGCAGCCGCCGCAGCGAAGGGAGACGGTGGCTGCAAGCGCGAACTCTTTGGCGGCCAACTTTGGCGGGCTATTCGTAGCTCCAAGCTTGGAATGGTGAGTGAGCTCGTGCTAAACCCTTGGCGGAAGTTGTTTCTGGGGTTGCGGATTTAGACACGTGCCACCCTGGAAGTCACAAAGGGTCGAGGGTTTAGGGTTTCGGGTTTAGGGTTTAGGAAGTCACAAAGGAATGAAAAGAAGTGGAATGTAATGCTTCAGTGAATATATATATATATATATAGATTGTCGGGATGCGGGGCGTGACCATAAACCTAAAACCCTAAGCCAACAATAAATCTCAGAATGCTAGTTTCGGGGTTCAGGTTCAGGATTTACCCCGAAATGCCCTTAACCCTAAACCCTAAACCCTAAACCCTAAACCCTAAACCCTAAACCCTAAACCCTGTGTTTCTGCCGAGACTCCTGAGGAATTCAAGCAGAGGCGGCGGATCCTGTGGGAGAGCGCCGTGGCAAAGGACCGGAGCTAGCCCAGTATTCTCATTGAGGCTTAGGGTTTAGGGTTTAGGGTTTAGGGTTTCGGGTTTCGGGTTTAGGGGTTCGATTTTGCATGACCCGAAGGGCAGCTGCAGGAGGATAAATGGCCTCAAAGACTTGAGCGATTGAAAGTCGACTTTTTTAGAGTTTAGGGTTTAGGGTTTAGGGTTTAGGGTTAAGGGTTCAGGGGACCTTAAGCTTTAAGCTTTACGCCAAAAATGGGAAATGGGTCCCACCGGGCTCCCAAGTACTTTGTGCCGTGCTGAACACGCTTAATCAAACAGACGCATGCCAAACTCTGTACCCAAGGTGCGCCAGCCTTTTTTTCAGAAACCTCAGCCTCTGAGCTCCTAACCCTAAACCCTAAACCCTAAACCCTAAAACAAACCTCCAAAGACCTGAACCCTCCACTCCTTCCGGTAAGCGAAGAGCGTCGTTGGCTTGTCGGGATGCAGGGAGATGACCTGAGGCCAGGCACTTCCGTGAGGGTTTTGGGGCTTGGGGTTTTGGGTTCTGGGCTTGGGGGCCCTAAGCCCTAAACCCTAAACCCTAAACCCCAAACCCTATGCCCTAAACCCTAAACCCTAAACCCTTAACCGTAACCTAAAGCCCTCACCCTGGGGGCGGCTGTGGAGTTTGTCCCTACTTGTAGTGTAGGCTGCTTTATCGGGTTCTTAACTTAAGGAGTAGTGGAGAGTATTATACTAAACCCTAAACCCTAAACCCTAAACCCTAAACCCTAAACCCTAAACCCTAAACCCTTAAGGAACCTTGGGTTCCATACCCCACTTGAACCTGCCCCCATAAGAACCCTATGAAGGCTTTACTCAGTGTTTAATGGGTCTCGTAGGAACTTTTCCGGGTTCGAGGGCTTAAGCTTCGCACCGTGATCCCCTCACCCTAGCCCTAAACCCTAAGTCCTAAACCCTAAACCCTAAACCCTGAACCCTAAACCCTGAACCCTAAACCCTAAACCCTAAACCCTGAAACCCTACACTCTCCGCAAGAGAACCTCGAGGTCGCCCAGGATATGATTCTCGTGGATCAGCTCGAGGAACTGCGCCGGCGTCTCCGCGTGCGGGGATAACCTCCAAAGGGTACTTGGGGGTTTAGGGTTTAGGGTTTAGGGTTTAGGGTTTAGGGTTTAGGGTTTAGGGTTTAAGGGTTTAGGGGCAAGGGTACTTGGAGGCTCAGGGTTTATGTAGCAACACAAAATGGGGGGCTTACGATGTTAGGGTACCATATTGCGGTCCTTATTAACAGGGAATCCTACTATTTGTGGACAAAACATATCGGGGGTCTCCTATTTTCGTAAGCCCCAGATAAGAATTCCATTGACGAAACAAGGATACTGCTTGAATCTGGTGAGTCTAGTTGATTGCTTAATGCAGATAGCAATTGGAGTACTTATAACCCAAATGGAATCCTAATCGGGTAATAATAAGCGGTTTATAACTACACTGATAATTGGGTTACTAAGTACCCTAACCCTAAACCCTAAACCCTAAACCCTAAACCCTAAACCCTAAACCCTGAACCTCCAAGGGCAGTTTACTTGGTCCCTTGAAAAATCTCGTTTTGGGACCCTGTTTTTTTGTCGGCCCTTAAATGGGGACCCTTTGCCCATATACCCTAGCACACCCAAGGGCCCATACTTCAGAACCGTTTAGGGTTTAGGGTTTAGGGTTTAGGGTTTAGGGTTTAGGGAATCCAATCTTCAATCCCTAGAGCCCTAAACCCAAAGCGCTGAAGCCCTAAAGCCCTAGAGCCAAAGGAACAGCGAACCCAGCGAAGAGCTCCCAGAAAAGCCCCGGAACTGAACCCCAAACCCGAAACCCTCCACCTTCATCCCCTAAACCCTAAACCCTAAACCCTAAACCCTAAACCCGAAACCCTAAACCCTGAATTCTGAACCCTTCAACCTGAACCTGAAAAAACCCGGAACCCTGAACCTTAAACCCTCAATCCTAAAACCCTGGAGCCTCAACCCTGAATCTGAAAAGCCGGAACCCTAAACCTTAAACCTGTATTCTTAAAGCCCTGAACCCTAAACCTTAGAACCCTTAACCGAAAAAAAACCCTGAACCCCAAGCCCTAAACCTTAAACCCGACAGTTAAGGTCAAGGGGCAGCTCCTTCAGTGCCAGGACGGTGAGGTCACACGCCCACGTCAAGGCATAGATGGGGTTGCCCGACAACTTTAGAACCTGCCGACGGCGAGGCTTGAGGATTAGATTCTAGATTTTTATTCTTTTCGGGGGGGGGGGAGTTTAGGGTTTAGGGTTTTTGTGGTTTAGGGAGTTTCGGTGTTAGGGGGTGAGGGTCTAGGGTCTCAGATTTGCTAGAGGCTTCGGATTTGGGGCTTTAAAGGGGCGACCGACACAGCAGAAGAGCAGTTGAGACTAGGGTGACAAGGTGGCTAGGTTGGCTCTGAAAGCAAATGACATAGTCATACCTCGCACCCAGCAACAAATGCAAGCACCCAGGATAACTGAAAAAAAAAAACGCTGCATGTGCATGCTGTGGCACAAGAGGGTCTCAATCGTTCGTGGCTTCAGCGGCGACAAAGTGGCAACAAAGTGAGCTTCACGGCTGGCGTACAGAAGGTGGAGTTTAGGGGCTCGGCGCTTGGGTGTCTTGCATTCCAACCCGATCCTTTGGGATACTTCACCCAAAAGCCCTCATGTCGAACCCCTGTCTCGGCCTCCAGGGAAGTGCCGCGCTTTCCTTGGCGTTCCATGCTTGGACGGCTGAGGTCCACAGGTCCACAGCCCTCCAAAGCTCTTCAAGGCAAGCGTGGCGCTCTAGCGCTCTGGCTGCCGTGCTTCCCCTTTTATGGGCCCGTCCTTCGACGCGAATCACCGGTCCCCAACACCCACATGGCCCTCTTTGAAAAGGCCGAATGTCCTAAACCCTAGACCCTAAACCCTAAACCCTACACCTTAAACCCTAAACCCCGTGCCCCCCCTAAACACCCTGAAAATACACCCCTGAACACCCCAAGGACCAGGGCCCACGATAGGGGGGGTTCCCGCCCGGTGCTCCTGAGAAAAATCTCAGGATCACCGGGTTTTGTCGGGCTCGGCCCGACTATGGAATTTGGCTCACTGCGGGTTTGAGCCGCGGTAGGGTTTAGGTCTACTATAGGGTTTGGAGTTAAGGGTTTAGGGTTGGGATGTTCCCCCTTTATACTAACAACCCTGAATCTTCTTGTACCCCGCATTATAATCCCCATTATATTCCTTAGTAGGGACGGTTTGTATAAGGGAGAACATCCCAAGGTTTAGGGCCAGGGCTTTGGGGGCTTCACAGAGAGTTCGAGGGCTTGTCTGGAATTTGGATATCGCTCTGCTGGGTTTAGGGTTTAGGGTTTAGGGGTTAGTAAGGGTTTAGGGTTTAGGGTTTAGGGTTTGGGGTTTAGGGTTTGGGGTTTAGGGTTTAGGGTTTAGGGCTTAGGGTCTTTCAGAGCCCTAGAAGGTGGCTAGCGACCAGGAGACGATGCATAAGGGGTGCAGGGTTTTAGGGTTGAATTCTCAGGGGGTTTCTGGTTTGGGCTTTTGTGGGTTTGCGGCTTCGGGTTGAGGGGTTCACTCGAGTTTGGAGTGCCGAAACTTGAAACGCCCTGAACTCGAATACATCAGCTCTTAGCGACCGACTCTCAGCGCTCGTACAATGTGCCTTTTTGTAGAGGTCTACGGCTTACTATTTGCTTCAGAACCCCCGCCCAACAAAAAAACATAAAATCTGTGCGTTGGCCTTATAAGGAAGACTATGCATATTTTTGGGTTCTTAAGCAAAATAGTTTATGGTTTCAGGTTTTCAACCCTTCACCCTAAACCCGGCGCCTGTGGCAAGACAAGAACATTAAGCCCAAACGCTGCGAGCTGTCCCCCGTAGCACGTTTACAGTCGAAGAATACACCACCTGAAACAAGCTTGTGGCTTTAGGTTTCGGGTCTTCGGAGCCCAAAACCACTTCAAAAAAGGGTCGCTCAATAGACTCAAGGGACCTTGATCCCCTAGCCCCCAAAGACCTCGAAGCCCAGCCCTAAACCATCAACCCTGAACCCTATAACCAAACCTACACACTAAACCCTACACCCTGAACCCTAAACCCTTGACCCTAACGTAAACCCTAACCCTAAACCCTAAAGTTGAGATCACCTGGCTCTGCCCGCCGTCAGAATCCTAAAAGTATAGAGCGGCCCTAAACCCTAAACCCTAGACCCTAGACCCTAGACCCTAAACCCGAAAGGTACAGAGCCTGCTGCGGCCCGGCACCTTCCTTGCCCGTCGCTTCCACTGCCGCAGCAGCGCTGCGCCCGGCAGCACGCGGAGGACGTGCCACGGCCGGTCTGGGTAGGGATTAGGGTTTAGGGTTTAGGGTTTAGGGTTTGGGGTTTGGGGTTTAGGGGTTAGGGGTTTAGGGGTTTAGGGTTTAGGGTTTAGGGTTTTGGGTTTAGGGTTTAGAGTTCAGGGGTTTGGGGTTAGGGTTTAAGGTCGACGGATTGAGGGGTTTAGGGTTGAGGGGCTGAGGGTTTAGGGTCGTGAGGGCGTGGGGTTCAGGGCGTATAGGGCTTGGGGCTGAGGGTTTAGGATATAACACTTGATACAACTGTAGGATCCTCATTGACTGCAACCATCATCCGCATCAACTTGCCAGACAAGTCATAAGAATAACGTCGTGTGGGTTCCAGCCATGGTGAACAGAAGCGGAAGAAAGCCCTCAGCGCTAAACCCTAAGCATTAACGAATCCTGTGGACGCTTGCCGTGAAATTCTTGGCCCTGCACAGCCTTCTTGTGTAAACTTTCCGCCCACGTTGGGATTCAGCCCAACACACCCCCTTGAAAACCCAAAGACCTACGCACGAATCTAACCGGTTAACCGGGTTTAGGGTTTAAGGTTTAGGGTTCAGGGTTCAGGGTTCAGGGTTTCGGGTTCAGGGTTTAGGGCTTCGGGTTCAGGGTTTAGGGTTTAGGCCAAAGAGCTCGTGGGTTTGTGGTGAGCAGCAGCCGGAGGAACGCTCCTGCACAAGGACTCCCACATGCCACAGGGGAGGGGCCTAAGAACCGGTTTAGGGTTTAGGGTTTAGGGTTTAGGGTTTAGGGTTTAGGGTTTAGGGTTTAGGGTTTAGGGTTTAGGGTTTAGGGTTTAGGGTGACCCAGAAGCCCGACAGCCGAGGTTCAGGGTTGAGAGTTCGGCGTTCCACTCCAACTCTCTACATATAGCTTAACCCACAAACCATGCAAGCAAAACATGAATCCTGTATTGGGTTCCATATTCACCCTACGATACAATGGAGAACTCCCCCCTCCCCCCCAACAAAAAAACAAAAAGAGAAGCTAAACTCTAAACCCTAAACCTCCTAAACCCTACTAGACCCTACGCCCTAAACCCTAAACCTCCTAAACCCTACTAGACCCTACGCCCTAAACCCTAAAACCTTCACACCCTGCATCATTGTCTCCAGGCTTGCAGTTGGTCCGCAGGTACTCTACCCAGGCTATGGGAACCTCAACTTGGGTCTAGGGTCTATGTAGGGTCTATAGGGTTTAGGGTTTAGGGCCAGCGTTTCGGGTTTAGGGTCCAGGGTTTAGGGCTTAGGGTTTAGGTCTCCGGGTTTAGGAGCTTTGGGGTTTTTAGGGTCTAGGGTTTTGACCGGGCGTAGCTATTTCATAGCTACCCTGCCAACGAGCTAGCCATCCCTGCCCATGTAGCTCAAAGTTTGCCCCAGTAGTTTGGCCCTCAACCCCAAAACCCTGAATTAGCCGCTGTTTTTCAGATTTAGGGTTTTAGGGTTTAGGGCTTTGAGTTTAGTATGCCCTGCTTCTGAATCCAGTTGAGGAGCGGCTTATTTTCATGTGTTGCTTGTCTCATTTTGCCGACAGCCGCCTTCCGGAACTTCCTAAGCCCAGTTACAACTAGCCATAAAGACCACAAAGCCTGAATTATGTGTAGCCCCGAATACACCCCTGAGCCCTAAGCCCCTCAACCCTTTACGAAGCCTCTCATAGCCCCCAAACCCTGAACCCTCTAAACCCTAAAAACCCTCAAAACCCAAAAACACCCTAAAACCTAAACCCTAAAGAACCCAAAAAACCCAAAACCCCAAAAAAACCTACAAACCCTAAGACCCAGTACACCCTATTGACCCTACAAACCCTAAACCCTAAAACCCTAAACCCCAAACCCAAAACCCTGTAAACCCTAAAACCCTATAAACCCTAAACCCTATAAACCCTAAATCCTATAAACCCTAAACCTTAAACCCTAAAACCCAAAACCCTATAAACCCTATAAACCCTACAAACCCTATAAACCCTATAAACCCTATAAACCCTATAAACCCTATAAACCCTATAAACCCTAAACCCTATAAACCCTAAACCTTAAACCCTAAACCCTATAAACCCTAAACCTTAAACCCCTAAAACCCAAAACCCTATAAACCCTATAAACACTATAAACCCTAAACCCTATAAACCCTAAACCCTAAACCCTAAACCTTATAAACCCTAAACCCTAAACCCTAAACCCTAAACCTAAACCCTAAACCCTAAACCCTATAAACCCTAGACCCCGCGGATCCCTCCTTCGCGGCGCGCAGCTCTTCGGCGCCCTGGCGGCGCTGACGCCCGGGGGCCCGGCGGCGAGCATCATGACCTGAGACTCGGGTGACTGGGGTTTAGGGTTTTTAGGGTTTAGGGTTTAGGGTTCAGGGTTCAGGGTTCAGGGTTTTAGGGGTTTAGGGGTTTAGGGGTTTAGGGGTCTAGGGGTTTAGGGGTTTAGGGGTTTAGGGGTTTGGGGTGTAGCATTTAGGGATTAGAAGTTTGGGGTTAGTACGGGTTAATGGGCTATATACATAAATACATATATATATATATACATATATATATATATATATATCGCATATATATATATATGTATATAGGAAACCGGGCCTAAAGATTGTTATACCCGAAACATACAAATGCCCTTGCCTAGGCGCCCGACAGTGATTCGCCGCCAGCAGGCCAGCAGGGTGTCAAACAGTCTAAGTCCTTCCTCTTGCAAGGAGCTGATAACTTGGCGCACCAGTGATCCCGTCTTACCCTCGCAACTCGTACCCAGCACCCTATAAACACGAAACCCTCAAACCCTAAACCTAAACCAGCATCCTAAACCCTAGGCCCTAAAACCTAAACCCTAAACCCTAAACCGCAAGAGGCTGGTTTGAGGTAGGGACTCGCCTGTCGCAGGGCTCTGGAAAACACTTGAAAATCAAAAGCGCCGCGGGGACCGGGCACCCCAGACGGATGGCGGGGATGGGTCCGTCTAGGTTTAGGGTCTAATATAATTATTACCAGTTCATTGTTGGGATAATAATAAGAATTTAACTTGTTATTCCTTATTGGGTTTGAGTACCCTTAAAAATGTAATTAAGGTGTTACTCTTTGGGGGCCTTCGAGTCGGTTCCCGGTCCCTCTCGGCGGAAGGCGTGCGTGGGACGCGAAGCGTGAGCGAGGCAAGTGGACGTAGACTTGATTTAAGGCTTTAGAGCAGGGCTTATCGAGTCTATTGGGGTTACGGTTTAGGCGCCCCTAAACCCTAAACCCTAAACCCTAAACCCTAAACCCTAAACCCTAAACCCTAAACCCTAAACCCTAAACCCTAAACCCTAGGATCGTGGACACTTCTGCACTCCAAAAGGGGGGAGAGTTTGTGAGTTAGAGAGGCCTGGGGAGTGCCCTCCACCCTGGAGACGAAATGAACCCTAAAATTGGGGGTCATATACCCTCTACTGCTTTAATTACTATTTAAAGTAATTTAAACCCTAAACCCTAAACCCTTTTAGGGTTTAGGGTTTAAATTACTATTAAAGTAATTTAAACCCTAAACCCTTTTAGGGTTCATTTCGTCCCCAAGGCATGCTACTTTTGGAGGCCTGGTATTGTGCCTGGCAGCGGTGAAACGGCTGCGAAGCGGGCGACGGAAAGAAGCGACCGAGAGCCTGAAGCTCAAACTCCTACACCTGGAGGGTTCAGGGTTTAGGGTTCAGGGTTTAGGGTTTAGGGTTTAGGGTTTGAGGGGAGAACCTCAAACTCTCCGTCCTAAACCCAGGCTTTTGGGGTTGGGCTGAACGGTTTAGGGATCCTTGACTTAGCCCCCCCCACCCAGGCAATCAACCCTATAAACCCTAAATTTTCAGGACTGCTTCAACTGCAAAGCCTAAGCCCTGAGCCCCAGCAGCCCAAGCCCCGAGTTAGCAGACCGCTTGGGTTTTCGGCTTAAGGTTCATGGGCAGTAAGGTTTAGGGCTTAGGTTTTAGGGTTCAGGAGTTCAGGGTTCAAGGTTTAGGGTTTAAGGTTCATGGGCAGTAAAGTTTAGGGTTTAGGGTAAGTAGAAGTAGGGATATGAATAGGGCAACTAGGCTGGTGTCTGGTCATAACCCTACTTGGGGCACTTCTAGCCCTGGTAGATAGGGCACAGGGTTGAGGGGCTTTGGGGGTGGGATGGGGTTGATGGGCAGTTCATGGGTACTTGCATAGCTAGGGGGGAAGTCAGGCAACTATAACCATAACACCCACACATAAACATGTCATTCCCGCACGAAGCTTCAGAAGCAACCTAAAGGGTCCACATACCTCAATGTAGTACCCTAAACGCTAAACCCTAAAGCCTAAACCCTAAACCCTAAACCCCAAACCCTAAACCCTAAACCCTAAACCCCAAACCCCAAACCTTGTATATTTGGGCCCGACGGCTCGAGGGAGCAAACATAATTTCAGGTATGGGAGATCTTAGGGGGGCTTTGGGGCATGGAGCTTCGGAAGAGCGAATCCCTAAACGTTAAAGGGTTCAGGGTTGGTTTAGGGTTTTAGGGTTTAGGGTTTTTAGGGTTTTAGGGTTTTAGGGTTTTAGGGTTTTAGGGTTTAGGGTTTTGGGTTTAGGGTTAAGGGTTTAGGGATCATGGCGCAGGGTCCCCCAAACACACCGGTAGGAACGAAGCCCAAGGCATTCGACCGATGCCTTTTCATCCGGGAAGTTGTTGAACAAGCGAAACCTGGACTGGTTAAGGGGTAGGGGCTTGGGCCAAGCCACTACTTGGAGGTTCAGGGTACTTATAACCGAATTAGAAGTGGAACTACAGTTCTGATTGGGTTCCTAACTACCATGAACCTCCAAGTATAGACTCTAGACTCTAAACAGAATTCCGGGGCAAATGGGCGTTTGCCATATTATAGCGGAACCCGCTAATTTCGAAGCGCCATGATCCTTACTCGAGGAACCCAAAAAGGGTACCCCGACTGTCGGAAACCCCCCCCCCCCCCCTAAATCTCGATGTGCACAGCCGTACATCTCTGCAATCCGCACTCAAGCCACATAGATTAGTCATTTCTATGCCACTGAAAACTCGTCATCTTTGCTTCGGGATTTAGGGTTTAAGGGTTTGGGATGTATCTGCTCCATGCAAGTATACTTCCGATCTGCCTGTGTTGCCTCGGGTGTGGCTTCTGGGGCAAGCACCGACGTGCGCGACTTATCTTGCGATGCTGCAGGCTTAGCGAAGACAGGCAGGGTTCAAGGGTGTCAGGGTTTAAGGGAGCTTCCTGTATACTACTTGGACTAGCCGATGTACTTAAACAAAAAAACAAACCCCCTGGGAGCAACTATATGGAAAGCACATGTTCCTGACGAGCTCCTGCGCTTTAAACATCAGGGCACTGCTTGCCAGGTGGTGCGAAAGGGGGGTATCCTTGTTTGGGGCTCCTAGAAGGAGGGTTACAACATGTTGGAGTACATTGGAATTGGGTTTAGGGTTTAGGGTTTAGGGTTTAGGGTTTAGGGTTTAGGGTTTAGGGTTTAGGGTTTAGGGTTTAGGGTTTAGGGTTTAGGGTTTAGGGTTTAGGGTTTAGGGTTTAGGGTTTAGGGTTTAGGGTTTAGGGTTTAGGGAGAGAAGACCACACCCAAGGGCAACCACAACAAAGCCAAAGACGTGGAGAGCTCCACAACTGCCGCATGCCCAGACATGTAACTTAACTCGATGCCAACATCATAGGCCCCTGAAGGGCTTTGAGGAGTTTAGAGATTAGGAGGGTTTAGGGTGTAGGGTTTAGGGCTTTAGGGTTAGGGCTTAGGCAAGTCGCGTTCCAAGTCAAACCCAAACTCGAACCCCAAACCCTAAAACGGTCTAGGAGCCCCCGCCACCACCTTACGTCCTGTTCCTCCCTCGGCCCGAAACCCTAACCTTAGAAACTTTGGGGCAACGGGCATCGTCAGCTCCGCGACATTGGTCTTGCCACTACCAGTAGGGGCCTCGCTGTCAGAAGAGGCAGGGTTCAGGGTCTGGGGAGGGTTGGAGTGGCGTCGTGAGCCTAAACCCTGGACCCAAAACCCGAAACCCTAAACCCTTAAACCCTAAGGTTGGCCAGTATAGGTTTAAGGTCCGGGCTGAGACATGCCAAGGGTTTAGGGTTTAGGGTTAAAGGTTATAGGGGGTTTAGGGTTTAGGGCATAGGGTGTAGGGTTTAGGGTTTAGGGGCCCCCCCAAGGTTGAGGTTAAGCCGACTCGAAGTCTGAGTCCTTACAGGCTGCAGACTCGGCACGTGTTCCCTGCCTTCAGAGGTTTAGGGTTTAGGGTGTATAGGGTTTAGGGCTTGGGGTTTGGTGTTTCAGGTGTCTTGTGTGAACCCCTGTGTTTCTAAGGAGGCCATCCAGCAAAAGCTGGGATGCCGTCGTTCTCTTCGCTCCTGTCACGTCGTGTGCACGGAGCAGCTTCATACGAGCTAATCTGGGGGTAGGTTTGGGGGCCCTACAAAATTAGTCTTTTAAGGCTTTATAAGGATTTTATAGTAGGGGACAAAGGGTACTAAAGAGTAGACAAACTATGTTCAAACCTGTTACGTGTATACGTGTCAGCCCAAGATTGGTGTCTCCTTGGCAAGCCCCTGATACTTAGGGTTCTTGGGCCCAGTAAGGTTTATAGGGTTTAGGATTTAGGATTTGGGGTTTAGGCCTCCTATACAACCTATCTTGAGCCTAAGGGGGAGGTGCTTGACCCCATGACTTGCCTGTGCTTGAAGGCACCTTTTCACCGCCAGCATCGCTCTCCCTCTTGAGGCTTAGCCTGGGAGGAGGGAGGAAGAAATGGCTGGAGCGCAAGAAGGGCAACGTCTCCTCTTCCTCTACGGGAGGAGGAAACATCAACTCCCTCTGGAGGTATGTCCATGTAATCCCCTCGGGACCTTCGGGTCCTCCACACCATGGGCATTCTTCCACGTGTGTGTCCGGGGCCAGGATGATCGCGTCGCAACCGGAGCACTGCCGCCAGCGCTTGCCGTCCTGTGTTCGGGCAGGAAGGTGTAAGCTGGCCTCCACAAGGGTGTGGACCTTGCTGCTACTGGTGCTGCAGAAGAAGCAGATGCTCATCCCTGGCGTGCCGTGCTTGAAGCTGTCGGGATAGCAGTTCTCGCAATGCTTGCAGTGCAGCACTTCCATGTGTTTGAAACAGAAGCTCAGGCGTGCCTTACGCGGGAGCTTCTCTTGATCCTGTTGAAGGCTGCAGAAACAAACAGACAAGCATGAGCAAGCGTGCATCAGGAGCTCAAAGGTGGGGGCATGGTGCACTGCATACACGTACCTGCAGCTGCAGGTGTTTTAATCGCGTTTTCTTCGCTGATTCCAAAGGGGCAGGATGCTTCGGACGCTGCACAAGGTCATTGCTCTGCATGATACCTACGGTTAAACTATTTAGGAACTCCATCCCTTATCCCTCACACTGGCTCACATGCTCAGACAACAAGAGAAGAACTACTGCAAATGAACTGTGACACCCCGCTGGGATCATCTCTATCTCTTTCTCTCTCTCTTTCTCTTTCTCTTTCTCTCTCTCTCTCTCTCTCTCTCTTTCATGTATGCACACCTCAAATACGAACAACAAAAACACGCGTCGGGATCAAATGTCTCCCATACGGGTCCATCGATTGATTTTTAACATGTTCCTCCTTGGTAGCCGAGACCCTCAACCCTAAATCCTGAGCCCGAAACCATCAACTCCAAGTCCACCTCTAAACCCTAAACCCTAAACCCTAAACCCTAAACCCTAAACCCCAAACCCCAAACCCCAAACCCTAAACCCTAAACCCTAAACCCTAAACCCTAAACCCTAAACAGGAGGAAAGCGCAAGAAAGCAGCACTTCTGGGGCTGCCAAAGTCTGAACGCCCCCGACCCCTAGAAGCACATTGTAGTCGGTGTGGTAGCAAGTGTGAAAGACCTCGCACCCGTCTAGGGCTTAGGGCTTAGGGCTTGGGGCTTAGGGCTTAGGGTTTAGGGTTTAGGGCTGAGGGTTTAGGGTTTAGGGTTTAGGGTTTAGGGCTTGTAGAGTCTTCAGGGGTCGCTCAGGGGTCTACGGTGTGCTTGGGTATTTACATACATGTAAGTGCTCAGGGGTTTCAAGGGCCTAAAGGCTTAAGGATTTGGGGGGTCTTAAGGGTGTAAGGGCGCCAGGGTGTAGGGAATTTCGGGCTTGGGAAGGATAACCAGGGGCAGGGGGGGGGGGAGAAGGAGGATGCACCCGAAGCCCTAAACCCGGCCCTAAGCCCTAAACCTACACCCCAAACCCGAACCCTGAATCCTAGACCCTAAGCTTCTGGAAATCTGGATGGCTATGAGGAAAACCCAAAGCTAAGGGCTTCGGGTTTTAGCTTAGGGTGAGGGTGTTGGGGTTCTAGGGGTTTAGGGGCTACAGGGCTACGAGTTTTGGGTTTCGCCGCTCGGCCATGACGCCGAGCAATCTGTGCAACTGAAATTGCTGTTTGTGGCTGCTGCAGTTCCTGGACACTGCCCTAAACCCTAAACCCTAAACCCTAAACCCTAAACCCTAAACCCTGATCCCTGAACCCTGAACCCTGAACCCTGAACCCTGAACCCTGAACCCTGAACCCTGAACCCTGAACCCTGAACTGAACGACCCTGATGAAACCCCAAGCCCGAAACTCTCTTTCGCATTTGCCATTTATTGGCTGCATGTAAGGTCTGGGGGGTGACCGTGCTCTACAAAAAATGCAAAAACACGAAGCACCGGTGGAGGATGTTAGGCTTAGGGTGTACATCAAGAAGGAAGCAGGCACATAATCAGCACGCAAGGTAGAGATGTAACGAGACAGGCCTTGGCTCGAAGTCCTGGACTTTGCCTTTCTCAGCCTTGCAACGCATTAAACCAAACAAAAAACAAAGCTCTCGGGCCTGCGTCTGGATCGCATTGAAGTGGGTGAACTTGTACAGCCTCTCAATGCAGGCGCTTCGGATACAGGGTTAGGGTCCGCGGTGTAGGGGTCAAGGTTCGATGTTGAGGGTTTTCGCATTGCATCTTCTGAGGGATTTGGGAGGGGGTTCAGGGTTTAGAGTTCAATGTGTGGGCTCTCGTGCTTCATCTTTGATGGGTGTAGGGAAGTACGAACATGGGGGGCGGGCAGGAAAGTTCACGCCCCTAAGGGTCCTTACCTCCTTTAAAAGGTTCTCAGGTATGGGCCCGTGGGTTGTATTTACAGTGTAGGGCTTCGGTTGCGATGTCAAGTGACCCCGATAAAAAAAAAAAAAAAAGTGCGCTGGCTTCGACTGACTGTAGGATGTACTGGGCATTTCAAGGGCACACACCAAAAAAAAAACAGGAACGTCTGAGAAGGTTCCGAGAACAAAGTTAGCTTGGCGAGAGTGGTTTGACCCATTGGGCTCAGGTGCACCACTACTACGAATTGAACAAGGTTCATACAAAGGAACTACCTTTTCCGTTCACCCTGGCAGTGGGGGCGGAGGGTGCCTTGCAGAAGCCAACATAGGTGTAAACGACAAGTTGCTTTGCTCACAGGAGTGCGCAGCACCACAAGTCCCTAAATCCTAAACCATAGACCCTAAACCCAAAACCCTTTGAGGCGTACTTCGGGGAAGGGGGCCTAGACCGTCGCAACCATTTCGAGCTTCCGAAGCCCTTGAAAGCCCCAAACCTCAGAACGCCGTCCCAAAAAGCCCTCCCCAAATTGCCTCCCGAGCTATGGCCCCTCCTGAGACCTTTTAAACCCTAAACCCTAAACCCTAAACCCCAAACCCTAACCCCAAACCCTAAACCCCCAAACCCTAACCCCCAAACCCCAAACCCTAAACCCCAAACCCTAAACCCCAAACCCCCAAACCCCAAACCCCAAACCCTAAACCCTAAATCCTAAACCCTCAAACCCTCAACCCCTAAACCCTAAACCCTAAACCCTAAACCCTAAACCCTAAACCCCACGAAGGCACCTCTCGAAGTTCGGGTTGTGCAGGGCTTTCACGGGCACCGGGGTCAAGTCCAGAAGGGGCGTGTGGGCCTGGTTTAGGGTTTAGGGTTTAGGGTTTAGGGTTTAGGGGTTTAGGGTTTAGGGTTTAGGGTTTAGGGTTTAGGGTTTAGGGTTCTGCATCGGGAGGAGGGGAGGGTTTTGGGGGGTAGGGTTTAGGGTTTCGGGTTTGGGGTTTAGGGTTTGGGGTTTAGGAATTAGGGTTAAGGGCTTAGGGTTTAGGATTCAGAGGGGGTGATCTTGACTCTGGGCCTTGTTGGGCACTCTAATGTTGTAAGAGGTGCGCTTTGATAGAGACCCGGCAAGAGGAACCATGGTTGGTGGTCATTTTTAGCCATCCCACCCAGACAAAGTTTGGAAAAGGGCGCCTAAACCCTCCACCCAGACAAAGTTTGGAAAAGGGCGCCTAAACCCTAAACCCTGATCCCTAAACCCTAAACACTATGGGGCTGTGCACTTTTTCTGAAGGCATGGTGGGCTTGGTTGTTCTTCCCACTGTGTAACCATGTTTTTTTGTTTTAGCGGGGTGGCTGATGCCGTGTTTGTTTCAGGGTCTGGCAGCCTTAGGAGTTTATAGGTTCAGACGAAAGGAGTTATGTGGGGGTTGACGATATTGGGGGTACCTTATTGCGGTCCCGATAAAAAGGGATCCTACTATTTGGGGGTCTATATTTGGGGTCCCCTATTTTCGTAAACCCACATGTAGTACTTGTACAAGCCATTAGGGTTGTGGGGGGGGTGGGTGGGGTCTCTTCACTCGGCTTATCTGAAGCTTTATAACCCTAAGCCCTCGTCCCCGTAAGCATGAGCAAACCCTAAAACCTAAACCCTAAACCGTGCAACTGCTACATTGCTGTTATGTCCACTTCGAACCCATAAACATCCAAGTCTGGCAGTTTAGGATTTCAGGGTTCTAGGGTTTGAAATTAGGTTTTGGGGAGTTCTAAGCCCTAAGCTCTAAACTCCAACCCTAAACCCTAAACCACGCCTGCTGGCGATCCGGCAGGAGCAGATGCTGCACGGAGAACTCATGAGTAAACCTTGGCCACTACATGGATGGCAGTCCTTAACCCAGCAAACAGTTGGGATGTTCCCCTTTATACTAGCAGTCCTGAAGAAGGATTCTAGTACCATGAAAGACTGTTATAATAATTCGTATAAGGGGAAACATAAACAACACAAGACGCAACGGCATCCCCAGTAAACCGTGAAACGCAAACTGACACAACCTCTTGAATTCCTCTAAAAACCCTTGGAAGACCCTTGGAAAACCTGAAAGCCCTGAAAGTCCCAACTTAAATAATTAGAAACGATTGCTACCGTGCACACACCCCGCAGGGTTTAATTAGGTTTCAGGGTTTGGGGCTTTCGATAACCCTAAGCCCTAAGGGTCAAAGACTCTAGAAGGGCTGCAAGGAAAGCCTGGCAATCCACACAACAAAAAAAACCTTGCAAAGCCTGGTAAACCAACAAAAGCCTGAGCCCATGCATACCTGAGTATCAACAGCCTAATCCCTGCAACTCCAAAACCCCAAGAACACGCCTTCAAAGGTCGGGCCATTTTGCGTCTCAAAAGCCTAAACCCTGCAACTCTAAAACCCCAAGGAAATGCCTTCAGAGGTCGGGCCATTTTCCGTCTCACTGGCGTTTCTTCACTGTCTCCTCTTCTGAGAGGGTGCCGTAGCCATACCGCCGCTGTCCGGGACCAGGACAGCAATAGTACCTCAATCCCCAAGGTTGTTTAGGGTTTAGGGTTTAGAGTTTTGGGTCTAGCGCTTTGGCACGTAACTATCTGGTCTCCAAAATTAAGGTGCCTATTGGGCGTACTATTCTAAGGCAGGGTTGAACTAGGCACGATAATGCAGAAAACGTTGTATACTTGGGGTTGTATAAAAACCCCGCGATAAATCTATTCATCCGTTCTAGGGTTATCGTTTTTTCTTCTTGACTATCGTTTTACAGGGTTTTGTGGAACAACCTACACCTTAGAACCGATAATTTCGTTGATTGTAGTACAAGCTTAGTACTGGAACCGCCGTCCCTGTGAGCTGGCTGGATTTTCGTTGATTTGTAGTAAAAGCTTAGTACTGGGACCGCCGTCCCCGTGAGTTGGCTGGATTTTCGTTGATTTGTAGTACAAGCTTAGTACTGGAACCACAGTCCCCGTGAGACGGCGGGATTTTCATTGATTTGTAGTACAAGCTTGGTACTGGAACCGCCGTCCCCGTGAGACGGCGGGATTTTCATTGATTTGTAGTACAAGCTTAGTACTGGAACCGCCGTCCCCGTGAGCCGACAAGATTTTCGTTGATTTGTAGTACAAGCTTAGTACTGGAACCGCCGTCCCCGTGAGCCGGCTGGATTTTCGTTGATTTGTAGTACAAGCTTAGTACTGGAACCGCCGTTCCCGTGAACCGGCTGGATTTTCGTTGATTTGTAGTACAAGCTTAGTACTGGAATCGCCGTCCCTGTGAGCCGGCTGGATTTTCGTTGATTTGTAGCACAAGCTTAGTACTGGTGTCGCCTGCCTGCCGCGATGCAGCAATCAGGCCTTTATGTAACGTTATCGTTTTTTATTCTTGATTATCGTTTTACGAGTCAGGGGCACTGCCCCAAACGCTTAGGGCAGCTCCTTTCATAAATTGAATGCGCGGGGTTTTTATACAACCCCACTTGGGTCTTCAAGTACTTTCTTGACTTAGGGGCCCAGGTTTTGTAATAACTGGCTCTCGACATGGATCTAGGCAATTAGGGACAAAACATCCCCCTATATCAGCCTTCACAGGATTCCCTACTTCTGCTCCAAACCCTCCTAACCCACAGTCCTAACCCCGAAGCACATCATAAACCCTGAAGCCCAAACCCAAGTCCCAAACCCAAAAAGCGATCGGATGTAGGGTTTAGGGTATGTATCGCAAAAGGCCCCTAAAGCCTACAAACCCTATCAACCCAAAGCCCTCAAAGCCTCGATTTGGGTTTCAGGCTTTCCGAGCCCTTGCACCCCAAACCCTAAACCAAGAAAGCCCCTAAACCCCAAACCCTGAACCCGAAACCCAAAACCCAAAACCCTAAACCCTAAACCCAACACCCAAAACCCTAAACCCTCAAACCTAAACCAAAGTACTTGTAAGGTTTACCGGCTTTCCGTGAGAGCTGCGTGAGCAGCACCAGCACGAGAACCAGCACGGGTCCCAGGAATGCGATGAAGGCAAGCTCACGGCGTCGCCTTTGGGGAGGGAGGGATTTAGGGTTTAGGCTTTAGGGTTTAGGGCTTAGGGGTTAGAGATTTAGGGGTTTAGGGTTTTAGGGATTTACGGTTTAGGGTATTCGGCCTGTGATGAACGAACCTAGGACTAGGGACGAGGGTTTGGCAAATGCGTTTTGAGCCCTGTAGCCCCCCCCCCTGCCCCCCCCCCCCCCCCGAAGCTTTGCAAGCCTCGAACAAAGAAATTCCTACTAAGATAGCGACACTATAGTCATGTTCAATCTCTGTCTGGCTGTCTTTGTTGTTGATTGTATATTCTTGCTGATCTTGCTGCGAATCGCCTAGACCCACGTCGTCACCAATAACCGAAGCACGAAACCAGGAACCTCTAAACCCTCGGGTTTTTTACGCAGAGGCTTCAGGAATACCTGCGGCCCCGACCAGGGAATCCTAAACCAGACACCCTACCGGTTGCTGCAAATCCGAAAAGTCCAGCATATTGGGGACAGATCGGAATTGATGGGGGGTGGAGGGGGGGGGGGCTCTTTGATTTAGGGCTTAGGGCGTAGGGTTAGGAACTGGATGTAGATGGTGCAGCCCCTTCCTTACCCCCAGTGGCTTCCTATAGCTGAAATATATAAGAATCGATAACTACTAATGTCCTTCGCTGAACAACCTTTCTTGGGAGTCCTCGACCCTAAGTACTGATACACACCATGAACCTAGTACAAGTTTAGGGTTTAAGGTTCAGGGTTTAGGGTTCAGGGTTCAGGGTTTAGGGTTTAGGGTTTAGGGTTTAGGGTTTAGGGTTTAGGGTTTAGGGGGTTCAAGCTCCAGAAGCCTTCTACAAGTTTGAGCCCCATGGTTCGAAGCCACAGCGGCCGGGTGCGATGGTCGCTAGAACGGGCTGGCGGCTTCTTTTTGTCCACCTCAAGTGGAGGGGTTTAGGGTTTGGGGTTTGGGGTTTGGGGTTTAGGGTTTAGGGTTTAGGGTTGAGGGTTGAGGGTTGAGCTTAGGGTTTAGGGTTTAGAGTGCATGGGGTTTGTTCTAGATTGTGGCCCTTGTACGAGAACAATCAGGAGTTTAAGCGAACCTGAAGAGGGACCCACATATAGGTCAACGCCCGTGGCTCCTGCGTTCTCGTGCCCTAAGCCCTATAAACCCTAAACCCTAAACCCTAAACCCTAAACCCTAAACCCTAAACCCTAAACCCTAAACCCTAAACCCTAAACCCTAAACCCTAAACCCTAAACCCTAAACCTAAACCCTGAACCACTGCAAAGTGTGGGTGGGTCTGTCTAGGTGTGGGTGCCGGCTTGAGGGCTCGAAGCTTCACCATTCCGAGAACGTCAAAACATCCAAAAGGGGGTTTAGGGTTTAGGGTTTAGGGTTTAGGGTTTAGGGTTTAGGGTTTAGGGTTTAGGGCTACTTTACAGGTAGCTTACTCTAGGTGCGCCCTTCAACACCCCTTCAACACCCTGAACTTTGAAACCCTGCTAAACCCCAAGCCCCAAACCCTGACAACGTCACAGCTCCCCAAAACTTAATATGCCTAAAACGCCACATAGTCCGAGAACTTTTTGGGCTTATAGGGCGAATCTAGGGTTGCCCTAAAACCGTATAACCTGAACCCTACACCCTAAACCCTCAACCCTAAACCCCGAACCCCCTTGGTTCTGACTCCCGCCTTGACCCTTGAGGCGTCCACGTTGGGGTCTTTCGACGGCGGCGACGGCGCAATTTTCAGAGGCCTTTACTCTCTCGCTCTCCGTCTCCCTCTTCGTCCCCCTCTCCCCTCTCCCTCTCCCTCTCCCTCTTCCTCTCCCACTCCCTCTCCCATTCCCTCTTCGTCTTCGTGTCTCTCTCCCTCTCTCTCTCCCACTCTCTATCTCTATCTCTATCACCTCTATCTCTATCTCTGCCTCTGTCTCTGTTGCTGCTCATGAATGTACACACCTCAGGCCGTGCAAATCACATCGCCCCGATGCCCTACGGTAAACGACATGAGGCCGGCCGGGAAGTTCCCTAAAACCCCCCTCCCCGAGTTTCTTTTGATTGTTCGAACTGCGGTTTAGACTTAAAAGGGTACAGGGTTTGTGAAGCGGTATCAAGTATCAGTTCTGGGGGGTCTATGTGGGGCACTAATTTCAACTCCCAAAGCGCCATAGATCATATTGTAACTGTGAGTTGAGGGATAGCAGTGGGTTCAAGGCTTTTCCTTCCAAGGAGTGTTTCCAACAACTGGCATCTATGAACCCAAGATTCAACCCCTAATTGCTATAAACCTGAACCCTATGCACTATGCACCCTACAAACCCTAAACCCTAAACCCTGAACCCTGAACCCTAAACCCCAAAACCCCAAAACCCCAAACCCCAAACCCCAAACCCTAACCCCTAAACAATAAACCCTAACCCCTAACCCCCCCCACCCCAAAAAAAAAAAAAATGCTTCTGAGCGGCGCCGCAGCGGCGGCGGCCCCGCGGCGGGCGCCGCGGGGGGCCGCGCCGGCAAGGAGGCGCTGGAGCGCCAGATTCAGGCTCTCCTGGCTTCTTTGGGTTCCGGGTTTAGGGTTTAGGGTTTAGGGCTAGGGTTTAGGGTTTAGGGTTTAGGGTCTAGGGTTTCGGGTTTAGGGTTTAGGGTTTAGGGTCTAGGGTCTAGGGTCTAAGGTTTAGGGTTTAGGGTTAGGGTGTAGGGTTTAGGGTTGCGGGGCTATAAGGGTTGTTGTTTAAGGGTTTAGGATTTAGGACATTTGGATCTAAGGACTTTGGGGGTTTTCGCCAAAAGCCCTCGCAACTCCACGGGAAGATACACAAATTCAAAGCAGCCGCAGCC